AAGACAAGCATACTTATTGCATTAAGATTTTCATTCAAAAATAGATATGTTTCTATATAAAAGCAATGTTTAAACAAATAGGCAAGAGTGCAAATGAAAATGCAGTAAAGAAACCAATGATTGCCACAGTTGAGGAGACTTGACTCTGTATGGACTTCTTCATTTTGATGACTTTCTGTAGTCTTGATGCTTAAATGGGTGAGAGAATTCCCCTTCTGATCTGATGTGAACATGACAGTCACTGAATTGATCCCGTCTAGGACCTTGTCTTTAGATGACATACCATATTCAATCGAATGGCCAGGTGCCCCTGGATAATATGCATAGAAGATTCTTTCAGGAGAACAAATGAATTCTTTACCAAGCGAGTCATTATAAACTGCATCACCAAGCATATTATTCCGCAAAGAAATAATACACCTGATATTCTATCACAATAGAGGAGACATCCAATTGGAGAGGAAGAGCCCAACAGTTGGCCAAATAGGAATTTAACTTTTGGAAGAGACACCAAACTGGTGCTGGGATTTATACTTCAACCCCTTTACAATTTTCTATATCAAAACCGGGTGCCCAGAATAGGGGACACATCTAGCATGTGTATCGCAATCAGAAGAGATGTTTATGGGAGGCGGACCCCAAAGATCAGAGATTTACCAATTGAAATTCCACCAGGAAAAGTAATAGTTAGATGTAATGCAGTGGGCTTGCATCAGCATGCATTGTCTTTGCTTAAAAGCTTTTTTCTTCATGAATTAGCCAAGGGGACAAAGACTGGATGCTATCGAACAGATCAAGGAACACAAAGATGTGGAGAGTGCCTCTGATTGAATAGTCGGATGCCCTGACGTGGTAACCACATCTGGTGTTGGTAAACAAGAACGAAGCATTGATATAAGATCCCACATTAAATGTGAACCATTTGTTGATAAGATACTCCAAGAACTCAAGATTGCGTAGCACTCCATGGTTGAAAGCAATCCCTAAAAGATGAGGAGAAGAGAGAACCTTTGTTACGGTAGTAGGTGCAAGATTGTTGACATCGTCATTAGAGCTTTCATGACCTGGATCATTGAGTCTTTAATTGATTATCTTCCTTCTCGAAGAATTTCTGACCACAGGCCAAAGCTTATATGTATACCATAATCAATCCCATCAGAATCTTCATATTGGTCAATCCCTGCAGAGTTATCCCATACTGATCTCTGAACGTATGAAGCAAGAAATCAAATTGAACCTCTGAAGAGAGCACTAGGTATGAATAAGAATCCCCAATCTTCGAGTACATTTTATGGATGCATGAATATGCATGGAGTGCATGAATGGATGCCATGTCATGTTGCGTCATTTCCAAGGAATTTATGTGCTTTGATTTTGATTTTACGCAAGTAAGGGACAAAAAAGTTCAACACAAGGCTTACAAATATGATTCCCTGGAAATAACAGAACACATGTATTAAGCATGTGGTTAACCATGTTATGGATGCAAAGACATGGGATCAAATGGGATCAAGGTTCCATCATTTCTGAATATGATTGTTGCACTGCTTCTGAACCATATGAATATCATCAGATCAAAGGTCCAGCATAGCTTCCACACATACAAGAACTAGGTACCCTGTTGATCATCAATTGTACGGGATGAAGAATTCTGAAACACCGGATATCGTTGAGCCTTTTCTGAGCATGTTGGGAATACCAAGATCGAAGGCCCGAATGAACCTCCAAGTAAACAAGTCAGGAACTCAAAAAATAAATCTGAGCACCCCATAGTCACCAACTGCACACCATCTAAATATAGTCACTATCTGAATAAGTCACTGACAGAAATCCAGAACATAACCATTAGGACCAACAGTCACTGTCTGAATATAGTCACCATCCGAACATAGTCACCATTTATACCTGTGATAATAATTCCCTCCCCACTCACGGGTGAAGACTAGGTCAGGGTAAGGCAATGGTAACTCAAAATCACGGGTTCGCTTAAGAGTACTATCATCGTACACCTACGTGATAATGATAGCACCTTATCTACATCCCCTATCTGTCATGTTCCACTCTATTCCTAGGGTTCTTGTGGTTATCACTTGGCCTGGGTATTGGGCCTTTTACCTCTTGTAACTCCCACCCCACAAGAAACAGATCCAGTACAGCAGTAGCATATGGAAAACAGTAAAATGCAATGCATACATATGCTCAGGTATATACAAAATGGATGAATAAATAAAAAACATAAAAAATAAAACACCCAAATAAAAAGAAACAAGAGACAGGAGCGACTCCGGGATGGACCAGCATTTGGTCGACCTTTCCCAGTGAAGTCGCCAGCTGAAACAACCGGCTAAAAATCATCAATTAATGAAGTCTCCATCGAATGTATTTTATCCCACATAAAGGGAAAGGTAAACATAGAGAAAACCTAAGAATGGAGAAGTCACGGTCTTGCAACCGAGAGATCGGGTAAGGGGGTCTGTTACGCGAGGGGAAGATATTAGCACCCCACACGCCCGTAGTACTTTATGATATCCACTCTTGTGATCTATCTTATGGGTGTGTTTAATCTATGTTTACTGTTTACTACTACTAAAGGGAGAATGCATGCAAAAGAAATGAGAAAAGAATGTAGGGAAAATAAAATTGTACTCGCTTGGGCCTTACCCCAATGCCTACCTATCCTTTTTGAGGAATTAGAGCTACCGTAGTTTGGCTCACATGTTTTTGTTTATTTGTGTTTTTTATGGACAATGTTAATTCCGCCTTCTGTCGCAGCTTGACCTTTGGAGACTTATTCGTTGGCACAGAAGTAAATTAATCACGTCCTTACTTGAAAAGGGTTATAGAGAAGAGGTGCTTGGACGCACAAAAAGATTTGAATTGGTTTGTATTTTTGTTACCTTGAAAAAGGGTTTAAGTGTTATTAGCATGTTTTATGATTTGCTAAAGAAAATAAGTTTTAGTTTTAGATGCAAGGATGCAAAAAGGGGAAGAAAAGAGTCTAAGGGATACTAGCCTATTTCTAACCTAATGTTATCATACATTGGTAGCCCTACGTCAAGGATGAAAGGGAAATGTCTACCTAATGTTAGCATGCATAGTTTGCAACCTAAGGTCTAACTTGTGTCCGAAAGGAGCAAGCACGTCCTAAGGGAACATGATATGTACAAGGATAAAGCAAACAAGCTAATAAGCTCAAGAGAGAACACCTAGAGAGATCCTATCTAGGTTAGCATGCCAAAGAAAGTCTAAAATACTATCCTATAGGGAACATGCAATGAGAGAGAAGTCGTGATCTCAATTTCTAAATTGAGTGACTCATCGATCAACAAGAAATAAAGGAAAGTGATAAAATCCTATAGGGAGCATGCACTGAGAGTGAAGTCGTGATCTCAATTTCTAAATTGAGTGACTCATCGATCAACACGAAATAAAGGAAAATAATAAAATCCTATAGGGAGCATGCATTGAGAGCAAAGTCATGATCTCAATTACTAAATTGAGTGACTCATCGATCAACAACCAAAGAAACAAACACAAGCACAACACATATAGCAAATGAAGTGCGGAATGCCTACTACAGGTCCTTAAATAGCAACTTCCAGTGCACTCTCTTTATTTCCTACTTCTCATGGTATCTAGAAAGCAATAAAATCCTACTTCTCTTGATATCTAGAAAAGTGTTAAATAAATGTAGTAAAGTGCGAAGAAGTATGAAGGTAGTAGCGGCGACTACCAAAGCGAGCAAGTCGTCAAGAGCAGACGAAAGCACTGGAGAAGCAGGGAGTACGCGTCGAGCAAGCATAAAAAAGAAACAAACAAAGTCAGAAATGATATCCAACTAAGATAAAGGCAAATGCATGTTGTGAATGCAACGCATAATCAAAAGTTCCTGCACAAAGCGTCATAATATCACATGCATCAGGACAACACATAATACGATATGAGTTTCTTAGGACGATGAGAAATAAGGTGTGTCGCATCAGAAGCGAGCATAAATTGTATGCTTCGATCACCTAACTATGTGTTATGTTACATGATCGAAAGCACAAAATGACCCTTGCACAATGAACAAACGTGTCAAAATATAACATGGCAAAGCGGCACTAAAATGCCGATAAAAACTAAAAGAAAAAGAAGTATTTTTTTATTAGTTTTTTAGAATCTAAAAGGAAAAGTATTTTTATTATTAGTTTTTTAGAAACTAAAAGGAAAAGTATTTTTATTATTAGTTTTTATACAAGGAAAATTCTAAAAAAAATAGAGAATTAATTCCTTCAATTTTTATTAAAATCTACTATTTTTACAAAAATGTAAAACTAATAAAAAGGGCTCAAATTTTAATGAAAATATGAACTCAGGGAGGGTGAAGACTGAAATTCATGAGGGTACAGTAGAAAAGGGCGCTAGGTCCAATCAACAAGGGTCCAATGCTATTTTTGTTGTAACCTCTTCAGAGCACAAAAAAATGTTCTTGGGTTTGAGAGAACACCATTTTCGGTCCAGACTAGTTTTGTACTAGTTTCAAAAAAAACTCTACAAGCCTAAGCGGGAACGGAAGCAAAGCCCACAACATCACCAATCCATTATCCAGCTTATTATTATTATTACAATTATGTAAAAAATAAAATAAAGTAATGAAATAATAAAAATAAAACCCAAAAAGATTGCATTTTAAGTATCTCTGATCTTATGACCTTTTGCCTGCCTTCGAACATGAGCCCTTTCCTTCTTCTCTCTCACGATTTCCGACGAGCCAAAACCGCCGTCACCACCACCACCATGCTTCCCTAACCACTATCTCATAAACATAAACCTCGTCTGATTTCATGCTCTGGTAATGAATCTGGCGTTAGATTTCGCAAACGATTTACCATGTTGCGGGATCAAAAAAACAAACGAAAAGCCTTAGTGTTTCAAATCGTAATAATCAAGTGCAGATTCGCAAAATTGAAGCAGATAGGGTTCTAGTTAGATGGAAGTGCATAGATAGAAGTTCATAAATGCATGAAAATAACATGTTTAGGAGATCTGGATTTCCGGTACGGTGGTGGAGATTCCCAACCACTGTGAAACTCAGGTAACAACCTCACTTTATCTTCTTTTTTCTCTTTTCGGTATTATACTCCATCTTCTTCTACTTTTGAACTCTCGCATATGCCTCGAACGCATAATTCTCGCCGAAATAGTTGATATTGTGTTATTTCTCAATGACTTCAGTATGCGCGTGCTGATGCTGAGTAATTGCGTTCTTGTTATGTTCCTTGAGTATGATAAGGATCTACGAACAAAGAGGTTGGAGATCGGTGTTGTTGCGATAAGAGGGAGCGTATGTGGTTCTGATTCGGTGTTTTTGTTGCAAGATTGCAAAGAAGATGATTGAAGTTGTGAAGTTGCAGTGATAAAGATGATGGAAAATGTGTGAGGATGAAGATGGAAAAGAGAGTGTTGAGAGAGTTTGTTGGGGAATGATGATGAGGAACATTGATGGAGTGTGAGTTGCGGTTGAAGATTTTGAGTGAGAATTCAGAGGCGAAATTTGTTGAAGGTTGATGAAGATGAAGAAAAGGTTCTTGAGTCAAGGAGGAGAAAGATTCAGAATGATGGTGAGTTTTCCTTCGTGAATAATAATCTATAGTTTTCTGTAACTGAATTTTCTCTCTGAACGAATTTTGTTACCTGCCTTTTTTGTAATTGTGAATTCTCTTTTTCTGTTATGACTCTCAACTCCCTCATCTCCTTTTCTGTTGAATTCTTCTATTATACCCTGCTGGAAGTAGTTAGAGATTGGTTTGTTAGTTAGGGGTTGTTTTTTCTATTAAGCCGTTTTCTGTTATTTTCTTTTTGGAATTTAGAGGAGTTAGGATTTTTGAGAGCTAACTGACAGTTTGCAGGCCTGATTAACTGGTTTTATTTGGATTAGTTTCGGTTTTGCGAGTTTCTGTTACAAACGTTATGAGAGTTAGGAAGTTAGGGATTTGTTTGCGAAATTGGTTAACTATTTTTAGGATCTGGTATGACAGTTGGAAAATTGGTTAGAAGAACTTTGTATTATTCTGTTTTAAACTATCTTGTATTTCCCTTGATTTCCTTCCTTAAACTTAGTGCAGTTTTGGTTTTGAATCAGTTTGGATTATTTTTACAGGGGCTGAGAAATTCTATCAACTTCATATCTATTTCTGTTTTCTGATTTTATATTCTTCAAGCAGCAGTTAGTTTGGTACTTTGATACGGGGCTGCAATTATTAATTGGCTATAAGGGTTTTCTGGACTATTTTGATGTTTGCATTTGTTTCTTTTGTTTACTGATGCAGGTTATGTGCAGGATGCGAGGTCCAGTTTTTGTAATGACCAGTATGAAGCATGGCATTTAGTGGTGAGGATGGACATGGAGATGGATCCGTATGGCATGGCATGACGTTCGGTTAGGGCTTGAAACATGGAGGATGATTGGGATTAGAATATATTCTAATTATTGTGTAGAGTTCCATGTGTGGAATTGTATATATGTTGGAAACTTGTAATATAAATTATAGTGAGGTTATGGTATTTTGTAATGGCTAGTAATTCCTTCTCCTTCATGTAACCATTCAAAAGTGTAAAGCAAAATGGATTATAACTTGTATGCCTTTTGAATGAATTTGAATGAGATTTGGTGAACCTTGATTGAAATCTTGAATGATGTTAGATAACATGAATGGAACTTGAATGACTATATGGAATACAACTTGATGTGAATGAACTAAAGGCATGGCCATGAATTTAATGAATTCCATTGTAACTTTGATGCCTTTGCCTTATAATTTGTCCTTATCTCTCAAGAAATCCATATGACCAATCTTAATACGTTTGCATCTTAAGAACATTGATCCAGTTAATTAACTTTGAACATATTAAAAAGCTTGAATGAATACTTCCAAAGAATGAATTCCAATCAGTTCTCACTCCTCAAAGAAACTACAACTTTCGAATATTAAATCCTCAATAACTTTCATTATAAGCAACAATCAATTGAAAGAATAGTGTTGATGTCTTGAATCCACAAATCCTATCCTGTAACACGGTGACCATGGCTTGAGGAATCCTTCGAAACTGCATACGGAACTTTGAAAATGAACATGGAACTTGAGACATAGGAGGAATAACGAACAAGATAGCATAACATGTGAGTCCAATGAACCTTAATTGATGAATTAACACATTCAAATTCCATGGATAAGAACCTTAATCCTTTTGAGATGCACTTTGGTGAATAAATTGAAGTGGTGAAAAACACAAGAAGGGGGGGGTTGAATTGTAAAACTGAAATCTAAAGCAATTGACAAGATATTTTTATCCTGGTTCGTTTGATCTAAAACTACTCCAGTCCACCCGTCAAGGTGATTTCGCCTCTCTCCAACGAGGTCTTAATCCACTATATTCAACTGAATATTACAGACTGCTTTAACAACTGCTAAAGCCTTCTTGATTCAAACCACAACCCGGTTTGTCAAGGTAACACTTTCTTACAAAGAGATAAAACTATGTGTGTGGATGTTTTCTACAAAACTGTATCACAACTGTGATGTATACACAAAATGAAGCTTAGAAGCTAGATTGCTAAAGAGTAATGGAATGTCAGAGTGTGTGGTTTAGCAAAACTGGTAGAATGAAGATTATGGTTCAGCTTTTGTGCGTGTAGAGATTTTGAGAGCATTAACCATTTCAATCTTCAAAGCTTTGTTTATATAGCACTGAGATGATGAACGTTGGATGCAATATTCTTGATTCAATGCTAATAACAAACTTTCCTTATTGAGCAGATCTTGTCTGGAATGAAGCCGTTGGAATTAATTTGCTTTCAATGCACAGTACCGTTGCTTACTTAATGCAAGTTCTGGCTTGGCTCATTCTGACTCTGCTTCGCTGCTGATGAACTATTGTGTTTCTGTATCAGAGTGTTGAGCGCAGTCTTGTTCATCAGGCTTCAGCATGTACGTGAGTTGATCATCTGATTTTGACGTTCTGATGTAGCAACTTCTGATGCTGGTGTCTGAGATCATGTTCTGATGCTGAATAGATGTGATCTTGCTTATATCAATCAGAGTATCTGCAAGTCAGAACATAATAATTTTAGGCAGCAGATAGTTCATTCATGACACTTATAAATACTATATCTTTTCACTTTGTTATCATCAAAACTTAAATATAGGGTAGTAGATTCAAACATTGTTCTAACAATCTCCCCCTTTTTGATGATGACAAAAACTAGATATTTTAAATGAAAATAACGTGAAAAGGTATCTGGAATATGTATCAGAATAAGAAGTAAAAGAATAAGGAGTAAGGAAATACTCCCCCTGAGTTTATTACTTCCCTTTGATTATACGTGTTCTTCAGGATCAGATCTTTTTGCCTTTCTTTGAACATCAGAGTATCAGAGTCTTTGACTTATCAGAAGCTTTATGTCAGAGCAGAGCTTCAGAGCTTTTCTTGTCAGAGCTTTGCTTTGGATCAGAACTTCATATTGATCAGAGCAACTTCATATTGATCAGAGCTTCTAGTCTTCAGAGTGTCCTGGAGCTTCCTTGTGCCTGTAGACTTTAAACACAACAGAAAAAACATTTCAAGTAATAGAGTTAGAATGTTTGAGAATTTCTGTCTAGTTAGCCCGTTATTGATTTAAATATCATTCTTGTTCTCCCCCTTTTTGTCAGCAGTCAAAAAGTGTTGGTGATGTGCTAAAACAATTAAGATCAGAAAAACTAATCATATTAAGATAGTTCAGAGTCAAAACGAGAAAATATTACAAAACAGTACATCAGAAAATCAAGGAAAACATGAAGAAAAAAAAGTCATGCATGAAAAAGATTAAGGTTGAGGAGGCAAGCGTGTGAACAGGTTCTCCAGCATGGCTTGAATCTTTTCAGAAGTCTCATTCTGCTTATGCACCATGCTGACAACAGTGTCAATCTTGATGTCCTGCACATCCATTCTCTCTTTCATCTTCTGATCGTTTTCATCCATCCACTGCTGTAGACGCATGTCATTCAGCCTTAGTTCTTCCAGAGTCTGCCTGTCCAAGGCAGCTTGAGAAGCATCAGAAGGAGGAGGCTTCTCAGAACTTTCAGCAACATCCTCTGCTTGACTTTCAGCCTGAATGGTCTTGTCTTCTTCTGATGGTTGCACCTTTGCAGCTTGCTGTTTCTCAGACCAAGGTTCACTGTCCAGAGGGAGCACGTCCTCTTTCAGAAGCATACTTCCAACTTCATTCAAAAGTTTGCTGAAATTTTGTTGTGCCTGCTCATAGTTGATATCCTGCAACTTGAGGGCTTCAGCACGTACCCAAAGTCTGAACTGTGACCAGAGCTGATCAGAAGCAGTTGTGTCAATCATCCCAGGACAGACTTGCTTCAAAGAAGCAATCCATTGCAGCACACCTGTTTCAAAATTCAAAATACCAGAGCCAACATCTGGTTGCTTTGGTTTTGGGATGGCAATTTTGTGTTTTAGATCAGCAAGACGGTCAAGACTGGTTAAGTCAATGAAAGTCCTGTTGGGGTTTTTAGAGGTTTTCTGAGAGGCTGTTTGTTTTGGAGAAGGGGTATCAGAGTCAGATATTTCGATTGGAGTGGGTGGTGTTTTGGGAGTATTTGGTGGTGTCGATTCTGATGAGGATGGTAACTGGGGCATGACAACAGTTGTTCCACATGGCAACTGAATTGCCAGCGGTGATGGTTGAGGTGAGTGAGGGTCAGATTGATGAGGGGAAGGAGTTTCAGAGTGGTGAAACTCTGTTTGTGGTGAAGGTGGATTTATTTCTGGTTGGGGAGAGGGAGGTGGAATCTCTGATTGCTCAGGGATCAGAGGTTCTTCTGAGAGTGGTTGTTGTTGTTGTGGTTCTGGTTCTGGTTGTTGTTGTTGTTCTGGTTCTTCAGCAGATTGCTGTGGTTCTGGTTGTGGAGGAGGAACATTTTGTGGTTCAGAGTTTGGTTGAGCAGAGGCATGTTGACGCTCAATATCAGACAGCACTTGGTCAAGTGCTGATGTTGTTGAAATTGTTTGTTGTTTGGGGTGTTTGGTTCTAGGTCTTCTGAGTTTTAATGCCTCAGAAGGGTCTTCTTCTTGTACGGTTTCATCAATGGTAGGGATGGGAATTGATATTCTATGAGAGGTTTGAGGAGGGATAGATGCTGGAATAGTAAAAGAATTTGAAATAGGGGCAGCAGATGAAATACCTCTTTTCTTTGGAGTCTGCTGAGATGATCCTTCTGATGGCGCTTTCCTCTTCTTTGTCTTCTTCAGAGTCACTTCTGGTTGGGGTTGACGCAGATCTCTGATATTCAGCTTTGGATCTGTATCATCTGCCTTGTACGCATCTGGGTACCTGAGAAACATCTCTGGTTTGGATTCAGTTTCAGAGAATAATGGAAAATCACTCAGAGGCACTCTTCTGCTGGAGATATCAGCAGTGGAAGTAGCTCTGGGTTCCTTCTGAATGTTCTCTATCAGCTTCATCTTTTTCAGATTCTTTGCGTTCAGAGGTTTCCCAATTGTTGGTTCAATAGTGCTCAGCTCTTGAGCTTCTATCAGATGCTCAATCAGTCTATTCTCTGTCAGAATATTTGATATCAGCCTTCCAAAAGGTATCCAATCCCTCTTGGTTCTTTCTTCTTCCCTTGTTTCTTTCACACTGGTTCTGAGGTGGTTGAACAGGAAGTGAGCCAGATTGATCTTTATCTTCTGATCAATAAAGTAGATCAGAAACTGCTGATCCACATTTATATAATCAGGAGAACTTGTTGGTTTCCTGTGGTTGAAGCACCCCAGAACAATCTTCGCCCATACTCTGAAATGATCCTTCAGATCTTTAATCTTGCTGCTGGGCATCCCAAGAGTGAAAATCCTGTTAGCTACCACACCTATATCAGCACATCTTTCAGCCATGTCCACACAACGGACGCCACCACCACTTTGACCGATTAGCCTTGCAATGAGATCTTCAGAAATCACAATCTTCTTCCCCATAACAGAGGAGATGACTAGATGTGTTGAAACCTTGGCATGAATCCAAAATTCCTTGACCAGCACTGGGAATGTTGGTCCAACCAACCTATCGAAATACCTTTCCCACTTTTGAGCCCTAACTTCTTCAGTTAGGTCAAAACCATTCTCCTTCAAGCTTTCAAAATCAATGATTAACTCAGAGAGCACTTCAAGGTTCTTCACGGGAGTGAGGAGAGTTCTGAGTGTCACTTGATATTGCTCAGAAGTTGCTTTCTTCTGATTATCTGCAGAAACGCTACTGGAGGTTGCCATGTTCACACAAAAAGGGTTTTGAGAATGAACTGAGGAAAAAAGTTTGCAAGAGATGAACTCAGAAATATGCAGAAAATGCTTGAGTGTTAGTGAGAAAGCGTAAAGAATAAGAATGAGAGA